CAATCTAACCCGACGGATAATTAAGGAAAATAGAATCAGAGTGCAACAAATTTTGTAAACATGACGGTCGTAAGGGGCTGCCACGACCATGACGGTCATGACGATCGTGAGGAAGTTGTGACGAACGTCACATCAGCAAATTCTGGGCGTTACAATTTTAACTTACAGAAACATACATTTCACAACTTAATTAGGCAGCATGCATTTAGTAATGATATATAGCACAGAAGCTTGGACGAACATACAACAATAACTTGATTAACATTTTGATTACAAGGCATCTTATTAATTTGCAGCGGAATATAAAACATTTCCAACATCTAGCATGATTAAAGCAAGACCAGGAAACTTGCAACAAAACTCCATTAAAATTCAGCAAGTAATTATCTTGCATCAATTCAACATAAACAACGAGTTTCAACCATAAAAATCAGCACTACTAATTGATTGACATAGTGCATCCAACCAGCATTTGGCACTTAACAGTAGCCACCAATTTAATAAAAAGTACTTGATAAAATTCAGCAACAAGGAAATTAAATAAAAGCTATAACATCAATCGTTCATCCCCCCAAGAGTGCTACGTATCAGAGCGACCAACAACCTTAAACGAAAAGCTACACTTTATTCCGGATTACCTGCAAATTACCACCAACGGAGGCAACATACAACGTAAAGGGTGAGATATCAACAATATAACATAAGGCATGATAAAAGTCATGTCAGAATATTATCACAGCATTATAATTCCAGCAGTTCCCATAAATATTAGTAATAATAAACTACAACCACCCTTTATTCATAACCACAACAATTATCATCATATCTCAGCAACTCATCAAAACAACTCAACAACGCAACTCAACAATGCGACTCAACAATGCAACTCAACTGTGCATATGCATGTGGTACCATTTTGGGAGACAACACTCCACAATAATTCGGGAGACAACTCTCCATAATAATTCGGGAGATAACTCTCCACAATAATTCGGGAGACAACACTCCACAATAATTCGGGAGACAACTCTCCACAATCATTTTATTTTGTCATTAAAGACACAACCGTCGCCAATCCAGGCCAAATGATATGCTATGAGATGCAACTATTATGGACTATAACACAACAACAACAACTGTGCAACAACCGTGCAACAAGGCATCACGCCTACAACCAATTATCCATAACAGAAACATCACATTTCGCATACATCATGTACTCACCACTTCAATCTGTTCATATCAGAGAACTACCAACAATATCGTTCCTACGAATAAGACTCTAACACATTTTCGCAGGGAACCATTAAAAACAACCTCGTCTCTACAATTGAGAACTCAACAACATTTTCATATACCTTCATACGGGTAATATAACTACAACTTACCCACATAATCCAAGGAGAATATTATAATAACATTTTCTCAACAGTGACATAACAACTTCATATGCATCAAGTATTCATCATTTCAATCTGTTCATGTAGGGGAACAATAACAACATACTTTCGACAATTAAGAATTCAACACATTATCGTAAGGACAACATTACAACTTTTACTCACTAAATTAATTATAGTTCCTGAAAAGATTCGTTAACTACGGGGCAACTAATCTTGCCTCATTAAGGGCAACCATACAACATCGTACAACACTGACGATATAACACATTCATTTCTACACAAAAAAACCTCGTCCCTAACATTTATCGAGTCACGGGAACTGTATATATGATTCGATTCCCTACCTGAAGTCGATCAAGTAAGAGCCTAATAACAACCTTTTCTTAACAAAGGGGAAATTAGCGCGTGACGGCGCCGATTCCCAACATTACTACATAAACTAAGGACATAAACACTGATGCAGGCGTAGACAAACATTAACCCTTAATATTTCTCAACCTACGGGAACATTTACCCTTAATATTCTCTTAATATTTCTCAACCTACGGGAACATTTACCCTTAATATTCCCTTAATATTTCTCAACCTACGGGAACATTTACCCTTAATATTCTCTTAATATTTCTCAACCTACGGGAACATTTACCCTTAATATTCCCTTAATATTTCTCAACCTACGGGAACATTACTACGGGAACATTACCACGAGAATATCACTACGGGAACATTACTACGGTAACGTTACTACGGGAACATTAATCTTAATATTCCTTCAACTTACGGAAACATTACTACGGTAACGTTACTACGGGAATATTAATCCTTAATATTTATCGATCTACAAGAACATTAATCCTTAATATTTATTGATCTACAGGAACATTAATCCTATGATTCCATACCCTTCATGAAATCCATCATACCCACAGTTATAGAATTGAACCCCACCCTTACCTTTGGATTGAGGACAACTCTAAACTTTCGGTTTCGGTTTGCTCTTCCGGTGACTCTTCTGCAACAACCTTCAATTCTCTCCGGCGGTTAATTCTTCTGTACTTCCTTTCTCCACATCCACGTCCTTTTTCCTCTTTTCTCAGCCTTTTTCCTCCAATTTGGTTTTCTGAGCAGTTTATCGTTCTTTTGCTCTTTCTCCAATAATAATAATAATAATAATAATAATAATAATGATAATAATAATAATAATAATAATAATAACAATATAATATTACTACTAGTTATTAAATTATCATCATTATTAATTATATTATATTATTATCAAACTCAATGATTTATTAAATGGTTTCCTATACTTTAAGGACACCCACCAACGCTCTCAGACACACTCCCACATAAAGGCACACCAACAATTCATAAATAATTTAATTAAAATGAACGGGCACTACAGTTCTCCCTACACAACTTCTACCCATTAATCATTAATCCACAATCCCAATAATGAGAGAATACTCACCCTTACCTTAGGTTTCTTATGAAGAAGAATCTTTAATTCCATGAATGCTTGCATTCTGATTTCTCCCTTCCCTTCATCTTTTCCTCTTGCCTCTTTCTCTTCTTGTATTCTTCTCTTCTATTCTCTTTTCCCCTTTCCCCTCTCTTACTAACTCCTCTTCTCTAAAACCTTAACAATTTAATCCTTTCTATTGGGCTTTACCCAACTCCTTTCACTTTCTATTCACACACCTCAAATTAGGCCCAACTAATTAATCTAGCAATTATACACTATTCTACCAAATGAATAAATCAATTAATTTAATTAATTCCATAAATCACATATTTTGATTAAATTAATTAAATCAATTAACTCATATAAATTAAATAAATCAAATAATTCATTTAAATTAAATAAATCACATAAATCAATTAATTTGTACAAATAATTAATTATTAAAAATTGGACTGTTACAATATTAGCTTGATGCCTATTTTTGTTGTGACAATTTTCTCTACGTTCCCGAACTTGTAATGGTTGCACTGTGGCATATTACGCTACCAATAATTTTTCTCTATGTGCCCTAGTCTTTTGCATATATTGCATGAAGGGTTTTTATCTGACTTGTTCTTAAGTAATTTTCTAGAAACTTCTCTTCTTCTGTAAGTTTCTCCATAATTTTTATTTCCTCCATTTTCTTTATTTTGAGGCTGAAATTTGAGCTTTGAAAGTAAGACATTTTCAAGTGTATCTTCTTTATGCCTATGCAATCTTTGTCCATATGCTTCAAGAGAACCCACTAGTTCTGTCACTAATTAAGTGAAAAGATCTTTGGTTTCCTCAATTGTTGTCACAATTAGGTCAAACTTTGGGGGCATAGTAATTAGAATTTTCTCAACAATCTTCTTGTCAAGAATAACCTTTCCAAAAGCTCTCATTTGATTAATTATTTCTTTAATTTTAGAATAGTAATATTTAAATCTCAAACTCCTTCATCTTCAATAGTTCAAAATCTCTTCATAGAGATTGAAGTTTAACGACACATACCTTGTCGCTTGCTTGAAACACCTCCCGCAACGTATTCCATGCTTCTTTGACAGTTTTAGCTCCCATAATACTTAGAAAAATTGTTTGTTGCAAGGTGAACAACGCCTTAGCATTTTTCTATTTATTTTTCTTCAACTTATTTTCTTGAGTTGCATTAAGAGTTGAAGAATCCGCGAGAGCAGGGAAGCTTTCTTCTACTATATCTCATAAATCTTGTGATACAAAAATCTCTCAATTTTAACGCGGTAAAAATTATAATTTTCACCATTGAAATAGGGACAAATATAAATGATGATTGAGCGGTGTTATTCATAACTTAGAAAAATTATTGAAGTGGATTAATATTACCAGCGAAATTTTTTTTTAAGTAGTTGGACGAATTTTGGAATAGTAGGTAGATAATATTACTAAGCACAATGTATGACCGAACATAGATATGATGTCATTGTTAGTAGTTGAATAATTGATAGTTGATATAAGATAATTTTAAAAAATTGTTTAGAAAGAAGGTTATAACATTGATTTTTTAGATGATTATTTACAAAGTACCAATTGTGTATTTCTAGTCTCAAGTCAACAACCTCTCAATGGTGGTGAATATTTCTATATTATTTTTGTTCTTTCTATATATTTTATAGAATTTAATTGAAATACACTGTTAGTGTAAAAAAATTTTACACTGTCAGTTAATCATAATGATTGGATGTTCAGAAGAGCTTGACTTTTATTTTAATCACTTATAAAGTAATACAAGCGGATAATAGTGATGAATCGACAGTGTAAGTTTTACATTGACAATGCATAGTAATTAATCTCTATTTTATAATTAATTATCACGATAATTCTAGGTTATAATCTAATATATTCATACCTATTATATTATATTTAAGAATATTTAAAAAATTCATAGCAAATTCAACCGTACCAGTGCATATTGTGATGCTGATCAATGATGAAGCATAAGTATAGGTTGACTAAGAATCATGGTTGGTTAAATTTGCATAGACCTTAATATTTTTAGACAATGTATCTTGATCCCATGGGCATAAATACAAACACTACCACACATTGCATCTGCTAGAAAGTAGAAACAAAAAACCATGGGAGATGTTGTAGAAAGCAAAGAATGGTACGTAGCTGCATATTGTCCTGAAGGTGTTCCAACATCAGATCATCTTAAACTCCGCACTGTCTCTCTTTCTCTTGACTCTGATTCAATCCCTGATAATCATCTCGCAGTCGAAACTCTCCTTCTCTCCGTTGATCCATATCTTCGAGGAACATTCACCGGCGTCGTTGAAGGCCTTTACATGCCCCAATTTCAACTTAATCAGGTCTGTATATTTTCAAAACTTAGAATGTAAGACTCTTATATATGTATTCAAGATATTTGTATTATATATATTTTCAGGTTCTTTCAACATTTGCGGTAGTAAAGGTAATTCGATCAAAGGATAGTGCATACAATGAGGGAGATATTGTTTTGAATGGATTTGGTGTGGCTTCTGAGTATAGTATTGTGCCATCTTCTCACATAATCCGAAAAATCGATCCTTCTAATGGGATTTCATTGCCGGATTATCTTGGCTCTTTAGGTAGGTTTTCAATCTAGTTTTTGTCAAAACTATTATACGGTTAAGAATAATTTTTGTATTATTTGATTGATTGCAGGAATACCAGGTTTTGCAGCATGGATTGGAATAGAGGTGCTTGGAGATCCAAAGGCAGGATCGAATGTGTTCATATCTGCAGCTTCAGGTGCTGTTGGTATGAATGCTGGACAGCTTGCTAAGAATAGAGGCTGTAGAGTCATTGGAAGCACAAGCTCTGATGATAAGGTAACCTAGTTTTTTAGGTACAACTTTATGAACTTTCTATATTTCCAAATTACTTACAAGTTATCTGGTTGGAGTTTTAGGTAAAACTCATCAAAGAAGAATTTGGATACGACGACGCATTCAACTACAATATAGAGACAGATTATGATGCCGCTTTAAGCAAGTAGAAATTGTCTTTTTATCTCTTTATCGATTCCTTTAATTTTAGATAATGCTACACAAATCCATGGTTGTTCAACATAAGAAGAAGAAAAAAAAATGCAAAATAAACAACCTGTATTAAGCTTATAATTTTGCAGGTATTTCCCTGATGGTATTGATGTTTACCTTGACAACGTTGGTGGTAAAATGCTTGAAGCTGTACTTAACCATGTCAACAAGCGTGCTAAGATACCACTTTGTGGAATGATATCTCAATATAATAAGGTAAACTTCATCTAATCATTTTGAGCATAACACATGAATTTGACATTGGTTTTCTAAATAATGAAAAGTTATGATAATGTTGTTATAGGTTTGGACTGAAAGAGAAGGGGTTAGGAGTCTTCTGAATTTGGTGGGAAAGGAGGTGAGGATGGAAGGTTTTATGCTAGAATCATATTGGCATCGTTTTGGAGATTTTGCTAAAGATATGGAAAGATACATACAAGAAGGCAAAGTTAAGTCCAAGACTAAAATTAATATTGGAATTGAGAGCTTTTTGGAGAGTTTCAATTCCTTATTCTCAAGCTCTAAAATTGGAAAAGTTGTTGTTCAAGTTAAGGAATAGGGTCCAAACAGTAAAATGTGTAAGCATATTTTTGATCATAATGTTTGTATTATTTGCACATAGTCTTAACAATTTTTTTTCATTTAATTTTCACTCTTTGTTTCAAGATTTTCTCTTAAGACTGAAAATGTATAATATGGAAGCGGAAAAATTTATCAATCAATTATATGAAATTAAAACATCAATACTTATTTGTTAAAGTCATGATTTAGAATCTCAAAAGGATGATGACTGGATCTTCCTCTGTATCTCATAGTTCTGTTCACAACTTTCAATAGAGCAAGTTGTGGAACCGTCAGTTATCTTTTTGATTCTCTTGTGATTACAGAGGGGACCTAGCCATATAATATATACAACCCTAGTCCCTATCCATTATGGGGCCAAGGTTAAAGCTTACACTTTTTTACCCACACCAATCAGGTTTCAAATATTCAGTCTTTAATTAAAATAGATCACTTAACTAATAAAATAGCTTATATATGTACCTCCATCAAAATCACGATTAACCCGTTTTTCACAAACTAAACATCAATTGATTGTAGTTCATAAAAAATTAGATAAATCTAACATTCTCCCACTTGGGCAAAATCAATTGTATGATTTTTATTTTAAAATACATTTTGAAAACGACTCTCGGATTAATGACTAATTTCTTAAAATGCCGCATTTTAAAGAAATGCATGATTTCAGGTGCAGTATCTGAATATGACTCCATCCAACAAAAGTCAAGCAATATTGAATCACATCGATTATTATATCCTTCATTGACATAAAACCTTATGTGGTTACAAATACTACGTACTATGTCAACTAGTCATCAGTATGGAGTGTGGCAAGAAAATAACATGCTAATGTGATCCAACAGCCAACTGATATTTTCTTTGTCAGTCCTTAACAATTTCTCTCAAATGCATTAAAGCCAAAGAAATGTTAGAACACAGATTGGTGTTTAATTATATCTCTATGTTTTGATGATAACTCTAATAAAATTTTGTATTAAGAAAATATATACTCTAATTTTGTTCAAGTGTTTCTGTTTCAGATATTAAATTAAATATTCTTATGGAAGCAAAAATGCATTTGAATAGTATTCTACACAAAGCTCTGAAGCATCAGAAGCAAGTGATCAGAAGACTCTGAGCGCTGCCAGAAGACTCTGAATTAGAAGCTGCAGAAGACTCTGAAGCGTAGTTGAAGAATTTGTATGAAGAGTTTCAAGCATTATTTCAGAAGACTCTGAATGTACTTTACGCTGCAAGTACAGAGGCTCTGATAAACAATTATGCTCTGATCAGATCACTCACGCTAAAGCACTATTGCTGCAACTCTGATATCATTGAATCTGATCTGAAGAACAAAAAGCACATCAGAGGATCTCATGGTGTTTACGTTTGAAAAGATGTCAGCACGTGAATAGACTTGGTACTATTCTCAACGTCCTCTCCAACAGAACTATTCCTTATTTGTGATAGACACAAGGATTCAGGCAAAAGGCATTTCTCTGAACATTCCACTTCTGAGAAAGGAAAAGTCATGTGAAGACAAAAGGCTACAACTACTCTACTTGCACAGTCTTCAAGCATTGGACTTTCAGCTCTATAAAAGGACGTCTTCAACATCTCTTCAAGGTTAACGAATCTATAACGAATTATTGACAAACTCATTGAAATTATTCAACAACTCTCATACAATCTTTATTACTCAAAGCTGAATAGTTTTTATTCGTTCTTAATCTAAGTGTAAAAATCACAGTTTGTGATATAGCTTTTTAGAAGCAACTTAAACACTTGTTAGTTTACATTTATTTGTAAAAGGTTCCTTAAGAAGACCAAGTTGTGGTCAGGATTTCTTGAGAAGACTAAGACAGTTGTTCTTAGTGGTTGACACTGTAATCTATTTGAATATAGTGTATTAAGTCCTTGTGGAGAAAGGCAAATCACCTTGATAGGGTGGACTGGATTAGTTGAGTTCAACGAACCAGGATAAAAATATTGTGTTGTTTTTATTGCCATAATTATTTCAAAACCCTTATTCAACCCCCCCTTCTATGCGTTTTTCTCACCTTCAGTTGGCATCAGAGCTCCGGTTCTGTTAGTGCTCTCACTTCACCGTGAACAGAAAAGATCCAGTTGAGAAAACTCTTGATATATTTTGGTTGATACATTATGGATGAAGCTTCAACATCCAACAACAACAGATATGAGGACAGAGATAGAATCAGCACTAAACCCCCTATGTTTGATGGGGAGAAGTTTGACTACTGGAAAGACAGAATTGAAAGCTTCTTTCTAGGATATGATGCTGACCTTTGGGATTTAGTCATTGATGGCTATGTTCACCCCACTGATGGGGATGGCAAAAAGATAGACAGAAAATCTATGACTGAAGCTCAGAAGAAAGAATTCAGGAATCATCATAAAGCAAGAACCATACTACTAAATGCTATATCTCATACTGAGTATGAGAAAATTACTAACAGAGAAATAGCATTTGGTATGTTTGAATCTTTGAAGATGACTCATGAAGGAAATTCTCAAGTCAAGGAGACCAAGGCTCTGGCACTGATCCATAAATATGAAGCCTTCAAAATGGAGGAATCTGAATCTGTAGAAGTTATGTTCTATAGATTCGAGATTCTCACAGCTGGCTTGAAAGTTCTGAACAAGGGTTACTCCACTGCTGATCATGTTAAGAAGATCATCAGAAGTTTGCCAATCAAATGGAGACCAATGGCCACTTCTCTGAAGCTAGCAAAGGATCTGAACAAGATCATGCTGGAGGAACTGATCAGCTCTCTGAGGAGTCATGAGATTGAACTAGAGGAAGACGGGCCTCAAAAGAAAGGTAAGTCAGTTGCTTTAAAGTCTAACAAATCTGTTAAAGCATTACAGGTTATAGAAGAAAGTTCTGAAGAATCTTCTTCTTCTGAAGAAGATGAATTGTCCCTGCTGTCCAGAAGGATCAACAAACTCTGGAAGCATAAACAGAGGAAGTTCAAGAACTTCAAGAAACCAGATCAATGTAAAGAGTCTTCTGGACACAGAAGATCTGAAAAGAAAGAGGATGTCTACTATGAATGCAAGGAACCTGGGCACTACAAAAATGAATGCCCAAAGCTTCAGAAGGAGAAGCCAAGAAGGAAGTCTGATCATATAAAGAAAGTTCTGATGGCAACCTGGGATGATTCAGATGCATCTGAATCTTCATCAGACTCAGATGAGGAATGTGCAAACATGGCACTCATGGCTGACGTAGAAGACCATGCAGAAACATCTGGATCAGAATCAGAATCAGAATCAGATTCTGAGGAGGTATTTTCTGAACTTTCTAGAGAAGAACTTATTGAGAGTTTATCTGAAATGTTGGAAAACTATAGTAAGATTAAGCTCAAATACAAGAAGCGTGAAAACAATCTTGTATCTGAGAATGATCTTCTGAAATCAGAAATTACTGAGCTCAAAGCAAACAATTTGAAAATTAAAAATGAATTAGAAAAAGCTCAACAAGATTTTGAAGTTGAAAATAAGTCAAAATTTAAAAATATTTTAGAAGAATATGACTATAGTTTTCAGAAGTTTCTGTCAAGAAGCCTAGAGAGAAGCAAGATGGCTTCAATGATCTATGGTGTTAGCAGAAATAACAGGAAGGGTATTGGATATGAATCTTCTTCTGAGAAGGATTTAAATCCAACATCTGTTGATAAACTAATCATTAAGCATACTCCTATGTATTCTACTTTTAAGTATGGTCATCTTAATGATATTAAACATACACGTTCTGGTCAGAACATTCATGTGTTTAAACCTAAAGTTAGTCAGAACAAACCTGCTATCAGAAGACAGAAGTTCAGACAAAACTTTAAGGCAACTAACCTTAAAGGACCCAAAAAGATCTGGATACCTAAAGACAAAATAATACCTGTTGCAGATATCTTTAGCAGCAAAGTCAAAACACCAATCTTGGTACCTGGACTCTGGTTGCTCGCGTCACATGACTAGAAGAAGGTATATGTTCCAAAGCCTGGAACTTAGATCTAGAGGAGACGTCAAGTTTGGAGGGAACTAGAGGGGCAAGATATTTGGCTCTGGAACTATTGGCAATGGTAATCTTCCTTCCATTTCTAATGTCTTACTTGTTGAAGGATTAACACATAACTTATTGTCCATAAGTCAATTAAGTGACAATGGTTATGACATAATCTTCAATTAAAAATGTTGCAAGGCTGTCAGTTAAAAGGATGGCTCAATCCTATTTAATGGAAAGAGGAAGAACAACATTTATAAAAATCAATCTTTCAGAACTTAAGGTTCAAAATGTAAAATGCCTTCTGTCTGTTAATGATGAGCAATGGGTCTGGCACAGAAGATTGAGGCATATTAGTATGAGACGTATATCTCAGATTAATAAACTCAATCTGGTCAGAGGACTTCCTCAGTTGAAGTTCAACTCAGATGCTCTTTGTGAAGCATGTCAAAAAGGAAAAATTTCAAAATCTTCTTTTAAAACTAAAAATGTTGTTTCAACCTCAAGACCATTAGAGTTACTTCATATTGATCTGTTTGGACCAGTGAAAACTGCATCCATCAGAGGCAAGAAGTATGGATTAGTCATTGTTGATGACTATAGCATATGGACATGGGTGAAATTCCTAAAACATAAGGATGAGTCACATTCTGTGTTCTTTGACTTCTGCAAACAAGTCCAGAATGAAAAAAATTTTAAAATTGTTAAAGTCAGAAGTGATCATGGAGGTGAATTTGAAAACAAATATTTTGAAAAATATTTTAATAAAAATGGCATTGCACATAATTTCTCCTGCCCTAGAACTCCACAAAAGAATGGAGTTGTAGAGAGGAAAAATAGAACATTGCAAGAAATGGCTAGAACCATGATCAACGAGACTAATTTGGCAAAACATTTTTGGGCAGAAGCAATAAACACAGCTTGTTATATTCAGAACAGAGTGTCTGTAAGACCTCTTTTGGAGAAGACTCCCTATG